CACTCCCCCTACAACTACAGATCTATTCACAGGGCGGGGTAAGATTATACACCAGTTCTTGGATCATTCACTAGTGATTGCTTCTCACTGTTCCCTCTGCTGAAAGATCACAAGGTATGCTTGAAGTCAGTTATATATCTTCTAAGTCCTGCTCCTTCACTAGAGATACCTTTCTGATTAGCAAAGTCAGTCAGTTTTCCATGTTGCAATTTGCAAAAGACAACAAAAGAAAAACCAGAATTTGTAGCACAGTTATTTGTAAAGCTGACTCCTGGTTTTTACAATGAGTTACAAAACAACCTAGACTTCATAGCATGTCCCAGAGAAGTCTGGATATTTCTAGTGAAGGCAGGCAGATCAGGTGTTCAGGATCATCCTTAGCAAATTAACAAGTATTTTGCCTTCCTGGGCACATGAGACCACGTGTAAGAAGAAAAGTAAACAAACAAAACAACATTAAAAGATTGATTTGGTATGCCGGGCGGTGGTGGCGCACGCCTTTAATCCCAGCACTCGGGAGGCAGAGCCAGGCAGATCTCTGTGAGTTCGAGGCCAGCCTGGGCTACCAAGTGAGCTCCAGGAAAGGCGCAAAGCTACGCAGAGAAACCCTGTCTCAAAAAACAAAAAACAAACAAACAAAAAAAAAACCAAAAACCAAAAAAAAAATGATTGATTTGGGTTTCAAGCAGCTCTGCAGTCACTCCATGTTCTTTTCTTTCTTTGTAGCCCTGGGGATTAAACCTGTGTTTTAAATAAGATAGATTTTTCTAGGTTCCATAAAGAGATGTAGCCTGAGAGGGATTTCCTAGGACCAGGTCCCTTAATAATGCAGGATGCTTGAAGTAGGGGGAGCTGGCATGCAGTCCAAGAGCAGCCAGTGGAGCCAAGGGGAGTCATTCCATTTGTGGGCTTCAGAGAACAGGGATTTTGTGTAGCATGAATCCTAATCTTACTAAAAGTAAAATAAAATATAAATATATAACATATAGAATCTTAAAAAATTAAATAATCTTACAAAATGTGGGTCTTAATAAAAACTCAGAGCCAGATATCAGGGTAAATGCTGAAAGATCAAAGAAAAAAAACACAGCCACTTCTTACCTCACCAACTCCTCAGCTGATTTGGGAAGAGTCTGTCTCCAGGAATCCTCAAACTCAATGCCTCTGAGTCCTCAGCTCAAATGACTGAGTTCCTGTCTCCTCCAGCCTTTTATGTCTTTCTCCACCCAGCCATATCACTTCCTGTCTCAAATTTCTCAAACTTGCTGGAATTAAAGGTGTGTGACTCCAAATACTGGGATTAAAGGTGTGAGCCATCACTGCCTGGCTCCATTTCTGTTTTAGACTGGGTTAATCTCATAGAGATCTATGAGTTCAAGGCCAACCTGGCCTAGACAGTGATTTCCAGGATGTCTAGGTCTGTTCCATGCAGAAACCGTACAAAAATGTCAGTTCTATTTTTCCTACTGTTCCCTGGTTCTTCTACATAAGTAGGAACATCAGGTTAATGAAAGCTACTAGACGAAACATAGAGCTTGTCTCCCTCCCTGTCCCCCACATAGTGGCATAGCAGTCTCTTCCCTTTAACACTTTTAGCATGCTCATCAAGACCTCTTGCTGATCGACAACCCAAATTCCCCCTCTTCATATATATGTATCTATATTTGTTGATTTGCTCTATCCCCCATCCCATCCCTTACCCCTTTTTGAGACAGTGACATCCATTTCCCAGGCTATTCACATTTCAGGCCAACCACACCATGTATACATAACATTTTATTATAACTTTCTTCCATTGGGTCACAAGCTTTCATGTAAATTCCTCAGGCTGGCTTTTAACTCATTCTTAATCCCAGACAGGCCTATACTTTGCACTTTCCTATTCATCCTTCTGAATAATTGCCTCCACAGCCTTCCATCTGCAAACCCAGCTTGTCAATTTGAACTCAGACTACTCAAAATTTTGACTTGACCAAAGATCGCTTTATGGTTCTTTGTGTGTGTGTGTATATGTTTTCAAGAAAAGTTTTCTCTGTGTAGGCTCTGTTTGGTGCCTGACCTGTTACTGAATCTGTAAACCAGGCTCACCTCAAACTCCCTGAGATCTGCTTGTCTCTGCCTCCCAAGTGCTGGGATTAGAGGTGTGAGCCACTACTGCCTGGATTTAGTATTCTTTCTAATATTAGAAACAGGTAAAAACAATCTGCTGTGTCACTCAGAAAACTGAAGGTGACTCTTTTTTTTTTTTTTTTTCTGAGACAGAGTTTCTCTGTGTAGCTTTGCACCTTTCCTGGAACTCGCTTTGGAGACCAGACTGGCCTCGAACTCACAGAGATCTGCCTGCCTCTGCCTCCCGAGGGCTGGGATTAAAGGCGTGCACCACCACCACCCGGATGAAAGTGACTCTTCCCCGCCCCCCCCCCTCCCCGAGACCGGGTTTCTTTGTGTAGCTTTGCGCTTTTCCTAGAACTGACTTGGTAGACCAGGCTGGCCTTGAACTCACGGAGATCCGCCTGGGTCTGCCTCCCAAGTGCTGGGATTAAAGGCGTGCGCTGCTGCTACTGCTGCTGCTGCTGCTGCCGCCGCCTCCGCCTCCGCCTCCGCCTCCGCCTCCGCCTCCGCCTCCGCCTCCGCCACCGCCACCACCACCACCACCACCGGCTTCGTGCACCACCACCACCAGGCTTGAAAGTGACTCTTAATACAAATTGGATTTGATTGTGTCAGTGAGTGAATCTTGGTCATCCACAACTTTTCCAGGCTACCATAGAGAGAAGATATTCCATGGAGAAGCAGGAAGATCAAATTCAAGGCCACCCTGGGCTACCTAGTGGTTTTTAGGTAAGTTTTCCTATCTGAGGCTCTGTTTAAAAATATATATGGGAATGACTTACAGGCTGCAGTCCAATAGTTGCTAGTTCTGAAGGGAAGTTCAAGAATCTAGGAGCTGATCAGTCCCACGAGGCTGAGAGTGTCTCAGCTGATTTGCTGGGATAATGAAGAAGGAATAGATGAGATAAAGGAGGTGAGGACAAGCAAGCAAAGAACCACTTTCCTTCTTCCATTGCTTCAGTGGTGCATTCTGGGTTCCCTGTGAGCCTGTGGCCAAGCCTAGGTCTCTCTGCCTCTTGGTGCCTGGGGGCAGAAAACTGACCAGTTGTCCTTCTAGGTAGCACTTTGTACATGGCTCAATTGATGCCCTGGCCTGGCAGGGCATGCACTACCCCTTGTGACCTTATTTTTTTTCTCACTTAAAACAAGGATCCAACACCTTTCAGGAGCCAGTATGTGCCAGCACTTGGCAATTTTGTCCTCGGATGTTCTTGTGCATTTTATCTCTGCCCTGGTATACCTTGAATGCCACAGATGATACTTTCACCTGTGGGGTCAGGAACCTTGCTCTCCAGATGCTTAGTTTTAGTCATATGTCAGGGAGTTCTGGGGGAAGAAGAGAGAGATTTTACTCCATGTCTTGAATTTTTTTCTTGATGCTTGCTGGCTTGAGGACAGCTTTTCTAAGATCTGCCAGGAGGTAAGCTATAAACTGATCTCTGGCTTAAGGGCCGTCCTGATTACTAAAAATGTATTTGCATGGATCCTAGCCTGCTTCCAGACCCATCTGTGCCTCTCAAGGCAGCTTGAGAACTAGTGTGAGGAATTAAGGTGAGTTAGAGTGAGTCAGAAGAAGTGGCCTGCCCAATACCAGAAAGTGGAAGTCAGATAGACAGAAGTGGCTGCACTTATCGGAGAAAACATCAGAAATGGGGAGGGAGAAGGGTTCAGAGCTTTAGTAGAAAGGTTGGGGATAAGGTATCTCTTTTCATTTGCCCATTCACTGGCAGAAGTTCCCCGTGAAGCTATTATGTGGCCAAATTTACTGGTATCTGCCCGTATGTTCAGTGGCTGCAGCTGAGAGAGAAAAATTAAAATAACAAACTGGGATCAGACTCCAATCCCAGGCATCCCTGGGGTAGGAGAAAGATCTGAGAATCAGCACAAGTTACCCCTCTACTTCATCAAGATAGGGGTAAGTGCTGGGAGCAAATGCAGCATGTGGACCCCCAAGGGAGGTCCAGCATGAATAATATGCCTCAGACTGCAGAGCCATGGGAAATGGGACTCAACATTCACACATGTGGTGGAGACATGGGAGTGGCAGGTGTGGTGTGTGGATCCAGAAGCTGAAAAACTGAAAAAAAAAGTGAATCTCACAGTCACCAGGCAGTTTCAGGTCCTCAGCTAGGTTTCTGACATTCAGCTCTGGACATTGAGTGTGCAGAATTTCCTGTCCCAGTCACAGCACCAAATGATGGTAAAATGGTGCTGGTGAGTGGCACTGATTACCGGCAGAAAAGTCATGGGCCATGGCCACAACTACCAGAGGTATAAAAAACTTTATTAGAAATAAGAGGGGATAGGAGGGAGGAGCCAGGCCTGATGGGGGAGGGAATTTGGGAGCAGAGAGAGAGAGAGGAAACAAAGAGAGGGTGGGGGTCTGCGTCTGGCTTTTTTTTAAGACACAGCTTGCATGACCAAGTAGTCTCCAGTGCTTGCTGATGATGTAAGGCATAAGATAAGACCCAGAGCTGCACATGTACAGAATCCTAACAGACTCAGTATGGCTAGGTGCTCAGCTGGGCAGTGGGCACTGCAACCCCAACATGGGGCAGGTTTCAGGCCAGCCCCCACACTGTGCAGCTGATGGCCAGGGAAGCCTAAAGGCTGCTGTGAGAACTAAGCATGGCTGGATGCTGGGGCTTGCCATAAGCACCATAGGGCCCAGACATAAGCAACATATTCGGGCTGGCCCCACCCCCACCACATTGCAGAGATTTGAGGGGTGGAGCTGGTGGGAGCCAGCAGGGTCCTCCAGGAGCTCAGAGTATGCCTGAACTGGGCAGGGGCTGGTGGAAAACTGCTCCTCCAGGGTCACAGTCAAGAAGTAGCCTACAGGTCCTAGGGCCAACCTTGAGCATGGAGTTACTTTTGGTTTCCCACTCTCTTGTACTTAAGAATCTGGGTTTAATAACAATCTTTTGGCCACATGCTGTATGCTGTCCCCTTCATGTCCCATTTTAATGGGTGGGGCTCCCACAACCTGCCCTGGGGGCTGCCTACCAAACCTGAGGGAGGATTGGCTTCTAGGACAGAATGGAGTATCACTGCCTATGGTTGTTAAGCTACAGTGGCTGTGTTATAATTCTGTAGCTAGGGCTGATTTGATCATTCAGATTCAATAGAATACTGGTTAAAAAAGAAAAAAAGAAAAGAAAAGAAAACACTGCTATTTTCAGATGCTTCATGTTGGTACAATGTTGATGTAAATCTGGAGTCATTTTTGTAATGATATATGCATGCATTTCTGTTCTTGTTTAAAATATTGCAGCTTTACAATATCTTCTAGACTATTGAGGGAAATAACAAGAAATACTTTGGTAAGAGTTTCTATATTTAGAAAAGGAAGAGAGATATTTGTCAGAAGTAAATATGTGAACAGAGGGAGGGTACATGGGAGGTTATAGGAGGTCAAAGGGGGTATGAAGTGAATATGGAAGGTTGTAGATGGTCAGAGGGAATGTGAACTATGTGCTTTCTTGTACTTGTCAATAATGAATTTAAAAGTTAATTCTGGTTTGATTTCATTTTAAAATTAGCTCATGATTCTGTGTAACATGAATCTTAAAAGTTCTTATTAATAAAATCAAACCTGAGCCAGGTATTGGGGTGGACGCTGCAAGATCAGAGAGACAGAAGAGGTCACAGCCACCTCACCTCACCAGTTCCTTAGCTGATCCTGTTTCCTCAGACTGGAAGCCTCTTAGTCCTCATCCAGAATGAATCTCAACTGCTGCTTCAAAGCCTGAAAGCTTAACCAGCCAAATACTTCTAGTTTCTGGTCTTCACACCTTATATATCTTTCTGTTTTTGCCATCACTCCCTAAAATTAAAGGCTCACATCTTGGGATTAAAGGTGTGTGTCACCATGCTGGCTGTTTCCAATGTGGCCTTGAACTCACAGAGATCCAGAGGGATTTCTACCTCTGGAACGCTAGGATTAAAGGTGTGAGCGCCACCATTTTCTAGCCTTTGTATCTATCTAGTGGCTGTTCTGTCTCTGACCACAGATAATTTTATTAGGGTGCACAATATTTTGGGGAACGCAATGCCACCACAATTCTGCTAACTGTTTATGTTAAAAATGTATATATATATATATATATATATATATACATACGAATGACTTGTATTTAACTATATGTATCAATGTAAGCTAGCTTTAACTGTATATATATATATACATATATATACTGCATAATATATACATATATACTGCATTTATATACATATAAGTGTGTATATATATACATATATACATATACACATACACACACATACACACACATATATAAACTTGGATCCAACTGTGCATACATGTGCAAGTGTTTATTGTTTAGAAAAACATGTTTTAAACAGCAACCACATGGCTTTCCTCCATCTTGGCTGGTGACCTCATGGACAGCCATGTATCTGGCAGCCATTTTTTACTAAGGCTATAAAGATCTATTTGAGTTAACAAAAGTTAACTTAGAGATTTATACCTTAGTACTTATGTCTTTACCAAGTGTCCAATGGGGTGATGTATTGCATCCCCCAATATACTATGTCTCCCAATAAAATTTACCTGAAGATCAGAAGAAAAAGCCAGCCACTATAGTAAACAAAAGTCATGCAATGTTAGCTTTTGCCTTTAATCCTATTACTTGGCAAACAGGGATCTGTCTGGATCTCTGTGTGTTCAAGGCCATGCTGGCAACATAGCCAGGCATGGTGGAATACACCTTAAATTCCAACACTAGTTATTCATGGAGGTCTCTACAAATAGACAGATAGTAAGTGACAGAGCTGGGCAGGAAGAGAAAGTGATACAGCTGGACAGAGAGCATATCAGATGGCAGAACAGCAAGGCATATATGCATGGGTAGACAGGAAGTAGCTCATCTATGGAAGCTGTGGAGTTGTTGAGGCAAGGTTCTGTGGCTGTTCCTATTCCTCTGATCTCTCACAGGCTTTATCCCCAATTTCTGGGTCCATGTGTTTTTGTTTAATAAGACTGTTTAGAAATTATTTTACCTTCAACATCAAGCTTCTAGAGAATTTAAATAGATGGCTACATGTGTTTAAAAAATAGGGTATTTGATAAACATCAAAGCTGAACCTCAATGCTTTCATACACAAGAATATACCTTACTCTGGCAGCTAAACTTTGTAATTTAAGATTTACCCATGTAATAAATAATAATGGTTTTAAAGACATGAAGGGATCATAGGGAGCATCTCAGGTATGCAAATGTATGGCATGGCTAAAGTTCTAAACAAAGTCCAGCTGCAGTGGTGAACCTTAGCAGTTCTGGAAATGCCAGTGCCACGTGATAATCACCAGAAGCACCAGCCACAATGAAATGGAGCAGGCTGAGATCTAGAAGTCAGGCTTTCTATATATAAGCTGCCAAGGGTAGTGCAAAAGAAATGATCCAAGCTTCTAAGTAAAAGAAACAAAAGGATTATGAATGAATCCCAGATATTGAGCTTTGGGATTGTTTGCACTCTTGAACTTCATTTTATGTTATACAGATTGTGGTTATGCCATGTTTTTTCCTACTTAAAATAAAAGAAGGTACTTTATTGTTGATACTGAAGAAAGACATTTGAGAATTTTTTTTTTCTTTTCCAAGACAGGGTTTCTCTGTGTAGCTTTGTATCTTTCCTGGAACTCACTTTGTAGACCAGGCTGACCTCAAATTCACAGAGATCTGCCTGCTTCTGCATCCCAAGTGCTGGGATTAAAGGCATGAGTACCACCACCAGGCAGATCTTAACCATTTTAATTTTTTTTGTCTCCCTCCTCCCCCGCTCCCAAGACAGGGTTTCTTTGTGTAGCTTTGCACCTTTCCTGGAACTCACTTGGTAGCCCAGGCTGGCCTTGAACTCACAGAGATCCACCTGGCTCTGCCTCCTGAATGCTGGGATTAAAGGTGTGGACCACAACTGCCCGGCAAGAACAGTTTTTAAAATATTTAAATGTAGAAGGCTATGGGACATTTTAAGTTTATAAAATGCTCTATATTGTTAATGTTTGGACTTAAAATAAAAGGCTAAATAAAAGGCTAAAAATTAGGGTCACAGCCGTAAGCACCAAATACTAACCAGGAACTGAGATGTTCATTTCTTGTGATACAGGAAGACAATGACCTAAGCAGTCTGGCAAAGGGCTTGGAACAGCTTATGATTCCATGAGTCTCACTCCTTTGGGGGTTGAAAAACCTTTTTATAGGAGTAGCCTAGGACCACCTGTATGTTAGATGTTTGCACTGAGATTCATAACAATGGCAAAACTGCTGTTATAAAATACCATTGAAAAAGTTGAGAACCGGTGACTTGGAGAATGTTTCTCCTTATCCAGGGTCCATTTAGGCCCTGGATATTGTCTAGCCTTTTTGTCTTTGCTAACTTTGTTAAGCCTAAGCTATTTAGATAAACTGAGTCATATAAATGTTTTATATCAATATTCTGTTTTGCTTTCTTTACTGAATCTGTTTTGATGCTAGAAGAGCTTCAATTTAAAATCATTATTTTTAAGGCTACTTATTATAGACTGTTAGAGAACATAAGTCAGTCATAAATAATCAAGATTTTTAATTGTAATCAGGCTAAGTACTGAAGTGATTAATTACAGGGATAAGCTTAACTCAGTCCCTTGCATAGGTCTTCAGTGCTGAGCTTGAAACAAGTACTTAGAAACAAAGTTTGTCTATTCAGATATACCTTGTCTATTCAGATATACCTAAACAGTCCTCATACTATTGACAAAATTATTAAGGCCACTCCATGTAGTTAAAAGGAAGATTTATTTAGTGGGTAATTTACAAATGAAGGAATAGGTAGATCACAGGGTCTGGGGAAGGTATATCGCAGTCTAGTGATGTTCTCTGGAGCTCTGCTTGGTCAGCCTCCACTGTCTAGGAACCAGGAACAGAGAGTGTGCTGGCCCATCCAGACCTCAGGTCTCTTGGTGCCTCCCTTGGCCCTGCCTTGTAGGTGTGACAGTTGCCGAAGCCTCTATGGGGGTTGGAACTTCCAGATCAAAGCTGGAAGGGCTACCCACTACATCTCCCCCTTTTTGTCTAAATAAGAAGGTTCTAATCTATTACAAGACTATATACAAAGGAATGGTTATCAAATATTGTCCAGGAATAATGAGGGATAATGACCTAGACAAGATGGAACTTCAACCAATGAGAACAATATCAAGCAAGAAACACATACTAAAATCCAGAGAAGTATAGAGCATAGGTAAATGGCATGTTACAAAGATCATTCCAAAAGGTGTTCTATCCTAAAGAACCTGAATCTAATACTTAATAAGTTTTATCTAAGATATATATATATATATAAAGTTGTAACTATAACTGCTAGTCTTCAATCCCATCAAAAACCTGAGAAGGAATATAATGGTACCTGAGAAATGGTAAATGGATGCAAGCAACTTTTGGGAATCTTGCAAGAGTAGGCCAAGACAGCTGGCAGCCTGGACAGTTACCTAATGTTTCTCAGCATTGTTGGTGCATTCAAATTGGCTACAGACCTAGAGTATCTGACAGACCATTTTCAGAAGCAGGAATTCTGAAAGACGATCTTACCCTGCCTTGGCAGGGTACAGTGGTCGCTTTCCTTATGTTCTGCTTGTCCAGAAAGGACAGCATTGTATTCGTACTGTCAGCAGTCAAGGCAAGGGCAGTTCAGTCTACCTTTAGTGTCCAGGGTCCAGGAACCAAGAGAAGCCTATGCATCTGGATCTTGGGTCTTCAGATCCCTCTCTTGGCCCTGCCTTGTAGGCATGACAGTTACCAAAACCTCAATGGGGGTTGGAATTTCCAGATCAAAGCTGGAATGGCTATCCACTACAGGCAGCAAAGAATATGAGTTCCTGTATCTCCCCCAAACCCAATTCTACTGACTGAATGAAATCTTCAGACACAGTCATAGACATAGCTTAACTCAAGTGAGAGTTAAACTCTATTTTCAGTGTATCAGAATTGTTTAATAATCAGTCTCTTACTGACAGCTCACTTCCAGATTCCTGGACAGGATTGAGAGTTTTCATCATGGTACCGGTAGTCTGTCAATGTCTGTATTCAAGTGAGTTATGC